AGTCAGTTGTGTCAAATATTTAGATTCGTATTTAGTTGCTAGTTAGATCCACCTCGTGGTTTGTTGCATTTCACAAAATGTGACAATTTTTATGTGACACGGCTTTTATTTTATAAAGGATTTTTTTACCCAATAATGTATCAGATTACGTTATTGAATGCATTAATTTTCTTTCAATTTTATTGGACACTTTTTAATTTATTTAATCATTTTTATTAAAAATATCTCTCAATGCCATATTTACTTAAAATTTCTTATAAAAAATTAAATTTAAGAATGAGAAACATAAATCCCATATAAAATGGAAAAAATTATTAAAAAACAATATAAAAATTTATATAACTCAATTTTGATTTGAACAAATGAAGTCTACCTTCAAAAATTTTGAAATAAATTCATGATATCTCATATAAGATATCGTTGATGTCTGGAATGAGTATATAAGATTAAGAAACAAAAATTTAATAGGCTGAATAAAAAATATACCATTTTTAGCTAAAGCAGTATAAGCACAAATCAAATTGGTTTTATTATACAATAATAATGAAATGAATAGAGGCTAAATGATTTTTTAACATTTAAATAACTAATATAAATAATACAACTGGCTATGCGAAAATGAGGGGTTGTATAATTAATACGGGAATGACTGGTTTATGTGTAAAGGGTTTTTTTAGGGGATAATAGATCAACTCAATGACTCAATCAAGTATTCATTCATATTTGTAGTATTTTAGACAGATATTTTTGTATTACCATTAACATATATTAGTAGTAATTTAGCTAAATCATTTCTTTTATTGTATTTTATAATAAAATCCCAATATTTTTGTGTATGCAAATTCACAAGATAATGGCAAAATAATAAAAATAAACATTTCGCAAAAATAATAAAACAAACAATTTAATACATAACATTTATCCCCAATCTAATTGATCCGTATTCTTTTTGGATATCGATCTTGACTTGTTGTAGCTTCTCACTTTTATGAATTACTTCCTTCAGCTTCTTGACTTGTATCATTTTCCTACCCCTCATTTATGTTCATTTCATCGTTATTGTTTACTTATGCCCTTTTCGTTTACTATCTCTTCTACTTAGTATTCTTCGGTTAATATATCGGTTATTTTCCTTAATTGATCAGTATGACGGTATAATCGTTTTACTCTCTATACTTACTTCATATTGTAGTGATTCTAGTATGCTCTTAATAATAACTTTTTCCCATTTTCCTTTTTTATTGTAAATGCACGACTCACTTTTATCTCTAATTTTTGAGTATAGTATTTTAACTTCTTTTTTTATTCCCCCGTTCGAATATTTGGTCTAACAATCCTCTAGGTTTAATTTTTAGTAGTATTTCAGCAGGACTTTGTTCATTTTCTGCCCCCGGTGTATTTCGGAAACTGTAGAGAAAAAGAGCTCAACTGGTTTCTAAACCCCCCTTGTTGTAATATTGGAGTACTACTTATTTCTTGCTTTATTTTTTTATACATATCTTTTCATTGATTTGTTCATCTCCAAACTACTGCTTTTTTTATTTTATATAATGGTTTAGCTTTGTCTACAAAATTTGAAATAAATTTTAAATAATATGTTGCTGACCCTAGAAATAACTGTAATTGTTTTAAGTTTGTTGGTTCTGGTGCTTTTTTTACTGCCTCATTATTTAAATCTGTAGTTGTAATCCTGTTTTTTGATATATTGTGTCCTAAGTACTCGACATTTTGTTACATTTTTCTATCTTTAGCTTGTTTCATTTTTGTCTAGTAGTACCATTTTTAATTGTTTCATGTTTCTATTTTTCCGGTTACTATAATATCATCTAAATAACAAGTACTCCTTCAAAACCTTTTAATAAATTCTCGATGGCCCATTGAAATATTGCTAGAGAAGACGATATACCAAAATGTAGTCTTGTATATTTAAATAATATTTTATGCATATTGATTGCGGGATATTTTTGATCTTCCCCCACTTTAATTTGAAAATAGGCATCTGAGAGATTCAATATTGAAAACTCCTCTCCTTTTCCCAAACTGGCTAATAAATCTTGGATTCTTGGTATTGGGTATGTATCAATATTAATATTTTGATTTATAGTTCTTTTAAAATCCCCGCAAATTAGTAATGTTTTATCTTTCTTTTGAACAATTACTATGGGTGATGCATAAAGTGAATGATTAATTTTTTCTATTACTCCTATTTTTGGCAATCTGTCTAAATCTTCTTCAATTTTTTCTTTTATTGCCTATGGTACGGGACGTGATTTTATTTTTTCGTTTTTCATATATATTTGTGCCTTAAAATCTTTCAAACAGCCAATTCTTTGGTAAATAATTGAGGAAATTTATTTTTTATATTAATTTTATTTGCGTGGCCCTTTCAGGTATTTTAATCATCTTTGGAAATTTAGTTATCCAGTTTCTTTCAATTAGATTTTTTATATATCCTTTTGTAATTATGAGAGGTAGTTCTAATGTTCGTCCTTTATGTACTTTTACCATAGTCTGACTTAGTAGTGGTATTGAGCCTTTAAGTTTTAGCATGCAAATTTGTTAATTCAGAACAATTAAATTTATCTTTCCAATCTATTTCGTTTATTATGCTTACCCCAGCTCCAGTATCTAATTCCATTCTGATATCGCTGTTGTTTATTTTGATATCCACCCAAAATTCTGGATTATATTCAATTGTTGTATTATCAATAAAATTCATTATTTCTTTTCTACATACTCGAGCAATGTGCCCAATTTTGTTGCATTTATAACAAGTGGCATTCTTGAAAGGACAATTTTCCCTTCTATGGTTTCCGCCGCAAGAATGGCAGGGCTTGGTCTTTCGTAGCTCGAATTATAGATATTGTTTATTATTATCATTTTAACCTTTTTAATTATATTATTATATAATCATTTTCATCTTCTAACTTATCAATTGTAGTTCATCTTTTTGTATTAATTTTGTGTTTTTCATAGCTATTTCTACCGCAGTAGTTACTTGAATATTCTTATTTATATCTAAATTATCCTCGGATAATAATCTTTGTAATATTTTAGATTTTTCAGTTCATTATGATTTTATCTCTTAAAGCAGTATGCAAATATTCTCCAAATAATTCGAAGATTTTGTATATAGTCTATTAATTTTTCCTCATTTTTTGATTATGTTGATAAAGATTATGTTAGGTCTGGGATGAAAGAAATTTGATTAAAATTACTTTATTGTTAATAACAGTGATTTTTCTTGTAATGTTAACCTTGGTTGTGTGTTTTTAAATTCTTTAAATAAATCGTACCAATCTTTCACAGGTTTGAATCCTTAAGACTTTTTATTAACTGCGCCATTTTTAATATTTAATTCATACTAGTAGTATTTATAAAGATATTTTTGTATTACTTAACATATATTAGTAATAATTTAGCCAAATCATTTATTCCTTTTACTGTATGTTATCATAAAATCCCATTATTTTTATGTATGCAAATTCACAAGTTAATGCAGAAATAATAAAAATAAATATTTTACAAAAATTCAATTATAATAAAATAAACATTTTAATATATAACACTCAGCATCTCAGGGACATTATTTAATTAGATGAAATAGAAAGTATATTTTATTAACACCCCCCCCCCTCCCTTCCCCAAAAAAAAAGTCAAATCGCGTCAGGGTCAAAAAACATATAATTATTCGAAATTAATAATATCGTTTTGGACACTTGTAGTCGTTCTTCTTAAAAAGATTTCTAAGAGCGTCCAATATCCTTTCTTGTATAATATTCACCGTTCATAATCGTTGCATCATTTGGATTCGTAATTAAGCATAATCCTTATCTATTTTTATATCGCCGGCATTTGTAATTTCCGGTTATAATTCATAATTTCATCATTATTCAATCGGTTAACTCATTTTTATTTATGCAATTCTCATTTAACTTGTCGATTCACCCCCCCCCCCCCTCTCGATATATTTCGTTCTCGATTATACATAAGTTTAACATTGATACTTCATTTGGTTTTGCTTTAATTAGTCATCATCTATCAAAGAATGCACTTAAAAAGATAAAACATATAAGATACCAAAAATTTCTGAACGATTTAGTATATATTTTTTAAGAAATTCAAGAAATAAACTATGTGAAAATAAAAATTTACTAAAAAAATCTTTTTTTAAAAAAAAATCTGAAAACATCAATAAAAATTCTTAGCCTTTTTTATTCGGAGCAAATAAAAACAAAAAATTATAAGCATTTCAAATTTTATTTTGAGCGAAATAATTACCGTTGGTCTAGAATTGCAGTGCTTACTTGGCATTTTATAGAAATTGACACTGTAATTCTACCTACCGAGAAGGGTTTAACTCTGTTGGCGGTGTGTTAGAGCACTGTCAATTTCAGGATATTGTAATTTTTTTCTCTATGCGCAATTTATGATATTATATCATATTTTATAATCATCCATTGTGGCACCTTTTTTAAATTATATAAAAAAATAACTATAAAATATATGTGGAAAAATTTTTAAATTATGGCATAATTTTTTATTCAGCTAGATTATTATTTCTATGAATAAATGAATTAAATAAAGATCGTTTGTCTATATTATATAATTTGATGATTTATAGTAATTATCTTTTTTTATTTTGCTTTTACTTAATAAATTCTCATAATTAAAATTGAAAAAGAACATTTTGAACAAAAAATAATTCCTAATGTATTTATTTTTCTCCACCTGCATTTTGATTTAGCAAATAAAATTCTCATAAAATTTTTTTTAGTAGATTTTTTTATGCTATCATTTGAAAATAAATAGTATAATAAATTAACTCTTAATTTTTTACTTATATTGATCTATAAGTTTTTCCTAAATTTGAATCTAAACTTCTTTTAAATCGTTTTCCCATTTTTAATAATTTGCAAGTAGAGTACTCCTAGACCGGCGATATGTAATTCAAGTTCTATTACATCTAAATTAATTTTTTTGCAATTGTTTTTATGAAGGCGATTTTGGGTCGGCTTCCCTCGTTTCCATGGCGAATTCATTCGTCGGCACACCATATTGGATGGCTCCGGAAGTTATTTTAGCTATGGACGAAGGCCATTACGATTCTAAATCAGATATCTGGTCAATCGGTATCACGTGCATCGAATTAGGTTCGCTACGCTTTCTGTTATAATATTTTTTAAAATATTTCTTTTATTACTTAAATCATCTCAAATATGAGATGATTAAGGGCTTTTCAATTATGGTAGATGCCAACTCTATTGAGCAATAACAAAATAAAATTTGACTTAGAACTTAACAAATTGATTAAAGAATTCCATAATACTGGGTTTTTTACAAGAGTATTACATCTTTATTAATAAACCGCAAATAAATAAACTACAAAAAGCCGAAAGGAAGCCTCCTTATTTTAACATGAACGCCATGAGCGCTCTATACCACATAGCCCAAAGTAAATCACCCCCAACCTTAACTAAATCGAACGTTGCCGGAAAGGAGAACCTTTACGATTGGAGTTTGGATTTTAGGAATTTTGTCGAATCTTGTCTCAACAAGAATCCCGAACATCGGCTCACTGCCCAACAACTTTTGCAAGTAACCCTCAGAATTATAATTTATATGAGTGGAAATTAGGAAAAAATAGAAAAGAAAGAATTAGAACAGAAATATGGAAGGAAAAAATAATAAATAATGATAGGAAAGTATAAAAGTTATTATATAAAAGAAAGAAAGGAGCAAATTAAAGGTCTCCTAAAATTTTAAGCATTCCTTTCTGTCTCGCCTCCAAGACCCTCGAGTTATACTGCTCGACTTAATAGCCCGAACAACCGAAGCTGTTCGAAAACTGGATAACTTAAGTTACAGGAAGATGAAGAAGATGCTCTTAACTTCTGATGAAAACAATTTATCACCGGGTAATAAATCCATTTATTGACAAAATAAAATATTTATGTTTTACCCTTTTTTTAATATTTTGGTGAAGGTGCACAGTTAATAATTTTTTCAATGTATTAATTTTACCAAACACATTATAATCAATAGCGTCATCTTTATTTATCCTTTATGACTTTTTACTTTCGTTCCTCACTTTTAGGCAAATTCATTTAGGGTTATCTATCAACATCAAAAAACGGAATGATTTAAATACAAATATTGAATATGGCTCTGGATTATATGTATTTTTATTTAATTATATTATGGGTTAATCGAATGAAAACTAGTATTTTTAATGTTTTCCTCAAGATTTGTAGTTTCAAAAATTTATGATGGGGCTCTCTAAAATTTTGGCAACTCAACCCTTAATTGCTCCTCCTTAGTGACGCAACTGCTTATATTTTAAATTAATATCCACTAGGTACCGTAAGTCATTCTTATAAACATCATTCCAGATAGGGCGGGCTTTTATTTTTTTATGACTATATTGTAAAGCCTAATTTATTTTATCTTTCTTTTAAATTTCGCCGTAGTTCGATTCTTGGTCCGAGAATTGAATAAAGTAGATTGCTAGAGTATTAAAGTATTAAAATATTTTTGTTGATACTTATACAATTTTTTATATGATATGGGAATTTACTAAAAAAATGCTAAGATTATTTCAAAAAATATTATTTTAGTGTAAAAATGTTACCTAGATTTAAAAAAAAATTAATTCTAATAATTGGATTTGAAAATTGGTGAATAATTAAATCATTATTAAATTTTAGTAAGAAACTGATTATTAAATATTGCAAAATTATTATTTCTAGATAAATGATAACATAGGTTATTGAGTAGATAAGAATAGAAATAAAACAGTGTATTTATAAATTTATATAGAAAAATCAATATGCTGATAAATAAAATCAACTTAAAAAAATATGGTTGAAGCAGAGACTTCTACCGTGGAGGACGACGCAAGATCGTTATTGAATGGAAGGTAAGGTGTTATGAAGACACTACGTCATTTCAATAAAATTAGATTTAGTTTTTTTTGATAATTTTGATTTGATATGGTCATGGTTGGGTAAATTTTCAAAAAATATATTCGAATTCGGGATGTACCGATATTTTTATCGGATCGGGCCGAGCCGATATTTCACCCAATTTAAAATATCGGTTATCGGTCAATATTATAAAAATTTTTCTTCCGATTCGTTATAAAATGGCTTCTTTAACAAAAATAAAATGTTATAAAATTTTTAAAATCTAAAATCATTCGTTTTTATAAATAAAATCGAACCATTTTTACGTATATTTTTTTAATAATAATTAATTAATTAACATTTTGCCATATTGTTATTTTTTTTGCGCTGTTTATAAAAATGTTTGATAATCTCTTCAGAATCAGCTCTTAATGAAGCTGGTGATATTGACAGTTGCCATCACCTCATGCTGACCTCTGATAAATTGGAAATTTTGGTATTTCTAAAAAGAAATCTTCGATATATTAATGTTAATTTTGAATTGAATATAAACTATAACTGATCATTATAATATATTTAGATGACATAAGTTATTGTAGAGTTAAATTATAGATGTTATACTCAGGGATGCTAACCCGGCAAAATTTTAGCCCCGGGTTCGGTTCGGTTTAAGTAAAAAAATAAAAGGTGGGTTCGGTTTATGGAAATATTTTTGAACCCGGGTTTGGTTCCGGGTTCAGCTCGGGTTTAAGAATTTTTGAATTAATATTAAAAATCTAATAAATTTGGTATAAAAATAAATTTTATATTTTATTTATAGGCAAAATACATTTAAAAATACAAAACAGTCATAAACCTTGAAATAAAAGAGTTAAAGAGGATAAATTTTAAATAGCAATGATTTCATAGAATTAAAAAAACAGATATATAAATTTAATTTCAATTATAATATACACTTCATTAATATATATTAAAAATTAATCTGAACAAAAAATAAATCAATATAATAATTTTTACTTTGACTTGTTCATTCCTTTAATTAGTAATCTTTGAGACTAAGTTAAAAATTAAAAATAAATGGCGTGAATATATTTAATTGCTTTAAATTTATTTAACACTCCAATAGGAATCTTTGAAAATAAATTTTTAAAAAAATTAAAAAATGGCGTAAATGAATTAAGTTGTTTAAAATTTATTATCACTTCACTTAAAAGGTATTATGATAATATTATAAAATCTAAATTAAATTATTAATATTTGTATTTACAATTATACAAATATCTTAATATATGATTTTAAACAATACACTGAACTCGCTTGAGCCCGGGTTCATAAAAATTCCTGGGTTCGGTTCGGGGTTTCAAAAATTTTATAAATGGGGTTCAGGTTCGGTTTGGATTCAGATTTTTTATCAAAAACCCAGGTTTACTCCTCCGGGTTCAGGTTCGGTTCAAATCCCTGGTTATACTAATAAAAAGTATATTAAAAATTAAAACCATTGGTATCTTTACAGAATACAAAATTAGATAGGATATCGGATCGGTAATCGGCCTATATCAAGTTAATATTCGGAATATCGGATCGGCCTCCAAAAAGTGATATCGGTACACCCAATTCGAATATAAATACAAATACGTTTTAAATATACATAAAGATTATTAAAATACATATATCTTTTATCTAAACTTTTTTTTCAGAAATAAATACCTTGTCTAATACTTTTTGCAAGTCAATTTTTTTTAGTACCACTTAATTTTTTTAAATATAATTATTAACCATTTTCTAAAATTAAACAATATCGTCAGTAATACGCACATGAATAACATTATTGTTTGCATATTACATAAATTATGTGAATTGCAAATATCATCATCACTGTTTTATATATAAACCATAGTTTGGAGGATGAAATAGCTTCATAGATTATTTTGGTTTAATTTTTAGTTAGCAGATATAATATTTAACTTTCACTATTTTATTGATTTCTGATATTTTAAAAAATTTCCACAAATTATCAAATTGCATTTATAGGATGTTGTCGTTGCCACAGATTCCCGGCAAAAATATTTTATAAACATAATATTGGGGTAAAGGGGAGGAGGGTAAATCGTCATATATTAATAAACCTACTCCATTCAAAATTCTAGCTATACTGATATTTGACTTTAAAAAAACTATCATAAATTTTAAGTAAATTATGTTTAACATAAGTTTGAAAAATATTTAAAAATTATTACAGATTTAAATATTTATTATAAGGTATTATTTAAGTTCAATTATATTTTAACAAGTTTTTAAAAATGATTTTTTTTCTCACCATATTTTTATTATATTTGTTGGAGGGCAAATAATTTTATACTAAAGCTTTTGCCCATATGTTGAAATGTTTTACAACAATAATAAGATGATATATTTAATGGGAACAGTGGGGGTCTCGCCTCATTAATTTCTAAGGAAAATGTTCCCCATTAAAAAATAGACAAATTATTATATCTCATTCAAAAATGAAACAAAAAGAAAAAAAAATATTAATATTGCTATGTTCTTTCGTGTCTCATCTCTCTTTGGACCCTCTTTCAAAAATAGATGATATATATCAGAGACCTGCAGAGGTACCATTTGCACGGCCCGGCCCGGATTTAAAAATTTAAGGCCCGGCCCGGATATTTTTTAAAAAAATTTTTTACGGCCCGGCCCGGACCGGGTTTAAAAATTTAAGGCCCGGCCCGGATATTTTTTTTAAAAAAAATTTCAGGCCCAGCTCGGAATTTTTTAAAATTATATTCGACCTGGTATATACAAAAATTCACCTATGAGGTATTTTACCATATTTTTCAGCGAGTATTGTCGCTTATTATTTAAAAAATACATGTAAAAAGCTAATATTTTGAGAATATTATATTGAATTTATAAAAATTATAAAACTGTTATTTATAAAAATGGATATTTTGAGTATATACTATATTTTATATTGCATTTATAAAAATAAAACTAATATTCATAAAAATGGTAATAATATTTGTCATATACTATATTTTATATTACATTTAAAAAAAATAAAACTAATATTTAATTTATAAAAATGGAAAATATTTTGAGAATATAATATATTGTATTTAATTTATAAAATAAAAAATAAATCGCTATTTAAAAAAATGCATATATAATAAATAGTATTTTGAAAATATAATCTAATTGCACAATATAATATAATTTATTTTATAATATAAATTTTTAACAAAAGAAGATAATTGTATTATATAATATTGTAAAAAAAAATAATGAAAAATGTTGGATTAAAAACTTTCATGACTCAAGGTAAATATAATAAATGCAATAAATATTTGACAGTTTGCAAACTAAAAAACCAGCATGATTGATGAAACCCTATACTCAAGAAAGATATTAAAAATTCACATATTATCACGAAGAAAGAGAAGCATATCTATCTTTTCAGGTTGAAGATTACTTCTTCTTTCTTCAAGAATTCTCCCAGTAGTGGAAAAATTCCGCTCACAGTTTGCACTTAAAGCAGGAATTGACAATTTTGCTAAAATTGGAAATTCGCTTTGATGAGCCGCCCACCACTCTAACAAATTATCCACCTTAAATGTTTTTTCTATTATTTATGTAATTATAATATTCATCATCGGGTATTGACATATTACCAGAATTACCATCGCCCCATTTGTCATAAAACGATTCAGTTTGTTTAACAACAGTCGTAATTTGACTGGTCGATGGTATTTCATTTACTTCCTGAGCCTCTTGTAATTTAATATAATCTTTTATATAGTGTTCCGTCACTTTGCGATCTGTCCCTGACTACATACGTAATTGCTTGAATTTGGGACAGAGAAAAAGAGAAATAAAATGATACTTGTGTAAAACAATTTTTCAATTAAAAAATGCTTTATATTAAGTAAAATCAATTACAAATTTTAAGAAGTGATAATCCTTTATTTGATTGTTTTGGTAAAATATATTCTAAAAATTTAGATATGAATTATAAA